AAATAATGACATAGAAAAAAGCCTGAGAGCTAGGTCTGGGTTTGATTTCCTTCCAGTGTAAAGTAGTGTGATTTGTGGGCACTGGTGGTAAATATATTTCTTATGTTTTGCTAACCTGACAAAGCCAGCAGAATTGAGTGATATGTGTAAAATAATTCATGGTTCATCTTCTATGGAAGCATTTACTACTGTGCCTTGTCAGCTGCCTTTTGTCTGCTGGCAGCTTTTGCAAATTCAGAATATAAACATCTGATTTGGTCCTGACTTTCATTAGTGCAGCTGGATGGGGGGAGTAAAGTCTTGGTTTAAGGCACGTATTCTGGATTGAATTTGGCAGGTGTAAGGACATATCTTACTCGCAGACTGAGCAAATTCAAGTCTGGGATTCTCTAAAACATAAAGTGTGAGTTCCAAGAATTGTTTTTTACAACCGCTTTTCAAATTAGAGCTGTATATTGATGTTTACACAGAAAAATTTCCCCTGGGCTTCTGGCTGTAATAGCATTTACTGACTTCCCCCCCCAGTCCATAGGCTGAGATTACTGTGCTATTATGCTAAATTTTTCACATGAATTGATTTTGTGTTTTAGCATAAAACATTCAAATTTATTTCCCCTCATTGGTCACACTCATCTGCCATTTTGCTCTGAAACATAGTCCTTCACAACGTGTAGCAGGAGAGCCAGCTGAACTGCTTGTGCCGTCTAGTATACCAGAACACAAGTGCAACAAGAGATGTGCCCTGTGAGTGAAATCCAAACTGCCTTTGTTAAACTAACATTGTGCAGTCTCTATCTCTTCTTTGTGAAATATAAGTGAAGCCTATTCTCAAGAAAACATTGCTTATGGGTGAATACTGGAGGTAAGCTTGCATTTGTATTCTAAGCCATCGGATTAGACTTCTCTGCTCCTCTGTGCACTACCTGTAGCAGAAACTGCAGTGTGACATGAAGAATCATCTTCATCTCTTCAGGTAGGACAGTAGACAGTGCGATCTGAACCTAACAGGAATATGGTACGAATGTAGTTCACTTCTTCTAAACTGGGACAGTGTTGTGAGTGGTCCTGCAGATTAGTTGTGCAATAATTTTGGAGTAGGGTTGTTTATTTAGTACTCCAGACTCATTAATCATTCTATAAAATTAGAACAAAGCATGAATGTAGTGAGTCAGAAACATTTGCAGCTACAGTGTGGAATGTTATGAGACCTGATAGCTTTGTATATGGAACATCTTCGTTTCTTGATGACACACATTATTGGGTATAATGAGGTACTGAGTTAATATCAGGGAGACTTACAGAAGAAATACTGAATTTCTTACTTACAACATTGTAAGTCAGAAGTTACTTACAATGCAGTTCTTGTTCGTGGTGACAAAAGGTTCAGGCTTACGCATGAAGAAAAAACAAACATGTAGAGAGCTGATATTACATGCAGGGTATTGAGCTTGAGAAGAGTGAGGAGCAGAGAAATGAGAGGTTAGAAACCTGATTTCAGTGTGGTTTCTTAGAGGATGATGTGGGAAGTCAAAGATAGCTGAAGCTGTGAGAAGTCAGTGAGATCTGTGGTTGTCTGTGGGATAGGTGCTTATCTTATTTTCAGTGAGGTTTTATTGAAGATGAGTAGACATTGCTACTAGTGGAGACCTCACTACCAAGCACTGTGAAATTCTGTAGCTACCAAAAGTACTGCAAACTGTATAGAAATGAATAGGTACGCCCCAGGAAACTTAGGTGAATAAGATCAGCATCATACAAGCAACAGCAAGAATAAGCCCTGGAATACAATTGAGAAAATAGTGGAGAACTTACTAACTTAAAATGAGTGGCTGCAAATGAAGATAGAGAAATGAATGTGATACAGGTCTGTGGAGGGAGGCAAGCTTTCAGAGGGTGGAGCCAGAGAAGATGCCTTTTGTTTTGTCCAAGAGGCTATTATGATTTAGTGGGAAGGATATGATATATAGGAGAGAAACAGTGCAGTGGAGTGAGCATGATAGGGGAATGAAAAGAAGTGGACAGAGGAATACTTGAACATATTTGAAAATGCCCTCTGGCATTTTAAGGAAGGAAAGCAGAAAGGAAGCTGATTCCTTGTTTTTCCTGCTGAAACTCACCCAACATCATTGTAGCAAAGTAAACAGAAGTTGTTACCAAAACACTCTTTTTCTGAGATTCCGTTTGTGGTCAGGTTTATGAGCCATAAACAGTAATGAGAGTCCATAAATGACCATTCTGTTCCAGCTGGCTTGGTACACAGTTGTTGCATACAGGTTTTTCAGTAGTGAACATGCTAAGAAAAATTGAAGCAATATACACCAGTGTTTCATCTGTACTTGCTGGGTAGTTTTAGTCCTGGGATGCAGTTGAAGCTTACTGCAAAACTCCCATGCAGTCATGAGGAACAAAATCAGGCCCTGTGCATCTTTACCTTTTTTACTTTCCCCAAAACTAATTTTTTGATGAAATGGCACAAGCTGTGTGTGAGCTTGGATGTTTATAGGTCAAATGGACCTTTGCAAGGCGTGCATGCATTGTATGTATTGTTATCCTGAGTGTAACATACATTGCACTTAAGTAACATATGCAGTATGTGTGTACTTTCCAAAGAACCTTGTTCACAAGATTACCAATGGCAGTCACACCTTCATTTTTGCTGAGGTGAATGCTGTTGACTGCAGTGAGAAGATACAGAAGCTCAGTTAATAATCAAAAATTGATCCAATGGCAAAAGCTAACAAATCAGCCAGCATGTTGGATTCACATAGAATCAGTTTTATTGCCAGGTAAGAAATTCATATTAATATAGTGAATACATATGTTTACAAATAAACATTCTTAAAAAAACAAACAAACATCTTTATTGTAGGAAGTATTATTGGTATCATAAACTCTGTAGTTAACAAGTATTAACACGGGTTTCCTTACAGAACATACAGTTACTAAAATATTTCCACATAAAATATTCTTAAGTTACACGAAACCTCTGTGAATTACAGTGCAGCTGTAAAGTGTTATCTAAAGCAAATGGATTAACGGCAACATTCCATAAAGGGTCAAATTAAGCCAGTTGTGAAGGCAATAGAGATTAAAAGAATAAAATTAAGATAATAGAGAGACTGGGTTTTGTGCAAAGTACTTGTCCCCTGGGTTTTGTCCAATTCTGATAGTCTTAAAATAGAGGATGATATAGTTTAGCAGCACGCTTATGGAGAGATGCTGATGCTCTCAGAATACATGTCAATCTCAACATAGCTTAGAAAAAATGGTCTTTCTGTTTAACTGTATTTCACATTCATAGCCCTTGCATCCTTTGGGCTAAAAAGAAATGCTGCCAGTCACTTGAGTACAGTAAGAAATGCCACTTCACATTCTTTTTACAACATCACAGTTCTCACTCCTCCCTGCATACCCTTCCACAACTTATCTCAGGAATAACTGACAGCTACTGAGAATTCAGCTGTAGTAAGATAGCTAGTTAGGATTCAGGTCAGGGAGAAGGGCAGGAATTTAAGTGAAAAACTGAACATGCTGCCTACCATCCCAGTTCTGCTTACCTTATTGGGGATTTGCAGAAGCCTTACAGGCCTGGTGCTGTGAGGCTGCTACCAGGGACCAATTAGAGAGTGGTTTTACTCATAAACAAGGCATCCATCTCATCAGAGCCTCAGCTGAGACCACAAATCGAGTCGAGTAGTTTAAACCGAAACCTCTTTGATGTTTGAGGCTAGTCCAGTAGACTCTTCCATCAAATAGTCCACCAAGAGGGAACGCCACTATAGAGAGCTAAACAGTAGAGACAATATACCATGTAACGTTTAATTGAACTACAAAGAAAGAACTACCATGGCTAAAAGCAAATACAAAATGCCAGACTAACGGGCAAAAGTTTAAACTAGGAAAATGGAGGGGTCTAACTAAATAGTGCAACCTGACTGCAACTGCTGCTTGGAGACGTAGTCCAGTTTCCCTTCAGGACAAACAGAGGGGGCTGAGCAGGGCAGAGCCCTTGTCATCCTTAGCAAAACATGAGGAAATAGCATAAAGGGACAAAGGGGTCACTTGAAGAAACAAGACTGTCATTGAACAATAGTAATACAGTAAAGGCACCACCCACGCTTATTTTCAGTCTGAAGCATTTGAAGATAGGCAAAACATATAGGTGAAGAAAAAGTCCTGACTGTCTTCCAAGTGAGAATTGTTACCATCTGCCTGAAAACAGGAGGACTGAGAGGGAATGTTTTGATGCCCTTATTCCCCCAGCAGCTGTCTGTGTCGCATGAAGTGTCTCTTCTTATTTTGAAGGATCCCAAAAATTTCAAAGTAAACTGAAACAAAATCCTCTGCTGATTGTTATTATCCCTCAGAATTCTATACTGTCAGCTGGAAAGATTGTATGTGCTCTAAAATGTAACAGTCTTCATAAATTCCACATGAAAGAGTCTTCCTTACTGTATAAATATTTTTTGCACTTTCTATAGAATGGGATGAAAGTATGATAATTGATGTTCTGAGTTGTACCAAGATGTTTGGTCTTGACTTTTCATGGGCCTAGTGATCGACTGTTAATAGATTTTATACAAAATTCCTCACTGAAATAATATATTACAGTGTATTGTTTTCTCTTCTTCCACTGTCTCAAGGCAGGTACATAGAGTAAATGTTTAAGCAGACATAAAATTTCTCTAGGTTGTGCTACTTCTCATCATGGATTTTAGTTTCAAGTAAAAAAATTTAGTCACAAGGGTTTATGCTCCGTTGTGAAATACAAATGTAGTTTATAATTCAACCTTCAGTGTGTATTGCTGAATGGTATTCACTCACTCTTCGGTCTAGTTAGCTGGATACCAAGAATGTCCAGGTGGAGCTTCCTTCCATCTTTCTTTCCTTCCTTCCTTGCTTGCTTTCTTCATTCCACTGTGGATTGTTTGTTTTGTTTTGTTTTTTCCTTTTTATGTTTTAAAATTTATTTTTTGCCTTTCAGTTCAGTGTGTTGTGTGTTATATTTGCGAGTGTTTTTTAAAGGATTTCTTTACAAAAAAAAAAAAAAAAAAGGAAAAGAAAAGCTCAAACAGTTACTTCTGTCTTGCTGTTGGTTATGAAGTATGGCTGTGGACCCAAATAATTCTGACTCCGCGTTGTCAGTGGGTCACTTAATGCTGGGTCTCCCATACTGTATTTCCCCTTGTTTGCATATGCTTGCCGTCTAAGAGACTGGTCGTTTGGATCCCAGGTCTTGTAATGGGAATTGTAGCCTAACGGGTGTGTGTGTATCTTTGCCATTTTGGATTTCTGCCCGTTCTGTTTGGTTAAGCCGCTGTCGATTGTGTACGCTCTGTCTTCCTCTATGCGCACCGGGTGCAGCGGAAGGCTCCCCTTGGCAGCCAGTTCTGCGAGATGTCGGCGTTTGGTGTAGAAGTCGTCGTTGACTTTGTCAGCTGTTTGGATTTAAAAGGGGGAGGGAACAGAAAATCAGTTGGGCAGAAAAGAATTGTTAAGCAGTTTATGATTTTGCCCTCTGTTATGTCCTGAACACGTCTTCAGTGTGTGTTTTTGCTCAGATTTGATTGTTGTTGCTGCTAGCATTTATTTGCCTTGCTTTGAAATATGAATCATACTCAGGAAGCTAAAGGCCTACTGTTGCAGTCCAGCATCTCAGTTAAATTTTAAACTGAGTATCATGAGCTTAAGGGGAACTTAATATCTTTTTTCTTTTTTAAGAGCTTATTTGTATAAGGAACGTTTATTTATTCCCTTCAAAATCTAGATTTTTATTTAATACAGGGCCAAACACATAGATGAACTAACAGTGGTGTGTTAGTCATCAGTGTTGTGCTTTGGGTATATGATATTGTCAGCTGAGACTTGACTTTTGCTGCACCACAGCTAGCTCCCTTCGTTTGCCTTGAAGGTTCTCTGTTTTGTACATTTCTGTCTATACAGCTCAGCACTTGCCTTCATAATGAGAAGAATTTTAATTCCCTGCACTTGGTTTTGTATATTACTCCTCTTTTTCTCTCTCCTGAGTATTGCTAGGAGGCTTCTCTGGCACTAAAAATTACGTTTCTCCAGCTCTGGTCTGAATCCTAATACAAGGTGGTGAAATTCCCATGATCGCTGAATTAATCTTCAAGATCAGACTTTAGTTCTATATCCTCCTTGTTCTTATATCTCAGGGGGAAGGAATATTACCAGCAGCAGTTGCAGTTTATCACCTGATTACATTTTTTTTGTGTAATGACTATATGACTGGCTTTGATCTTAAATCCTTAATTTTGTCATTAAAGAGATGTTTCCTCCTAGATGAACTGAAATTGCTCTTGTCTGTGCTCTAAAATTAGGCTTTGCATGCTTTACCTATCTTCATCTGTCTCTTTTTTAATTGGTGAATGGATGCTTTTCTACAGAAAAAGCATACAGGTGTCTGCTATTTTAAACAAATCACAGAACGTGGATAATCGTTTAGTCTAATTTCAGTACAAGATGTGTGATTGCAAGGAATTTTTTCCGGTTCTGATTTTGGGTTGTCGTATTTAAGTGGTTAAAATTCTTTGAATGCTACAAAATGTATTATGGATTAGTTGAATAAAAACAGGAAGGAAACACACTTTATATTACTGACTTCCCATTAATGTTTCTGCTGTCAAGCATTTATCCAGAAAAATAGTTGCAGGAAATGCACCGTGATTATCCACACAACTGCTTATTTGTGTGAATGTTTACATCAAAGGCACATAAAGGCAGCAGGGTAGGGGTGCAGCTTTCTATACCCTATGACTTAGACCTTTTCTGCATGTGAAAAGTCACACTAGCTTATGTAACTTAAATTCAGCCTAGTTAATTATGCCCACCACCTAATATAGATATATTTGTTGTTTCATATTAAAATTTGTTTAATTTGCATGGAAAAATTAAAAACTAATCTAATGTCATGTAACTAGAAAGTAAAATTTCATGTTTGTGCTTTTATCATCTTAGTTACGCTGCAGCAATTTGTGTGACATAAACAGTGGTCAATTACAAGGTGAATAATGGTTCTGTTCAGAAGGAAGACAGTCCTGATGCATGCTATATGGCAGTCATAGCATGGGAGAGCTGCTGCTTGTGCCTGTCCTGATCAGACAGTGCTTTCAAGGCCCGAGAATTTTGTACGTATGCCTGGGAATTAAATGCTACTACTGAATGCTGGGCTTTTTATCTCATACTTTGGCCTATTTACTTCAGCATGGACATGCACACTTACACATGGGCACATGCAGCAAAATTAGATTGCAGCAATTATAAAAAAAAAAGCATTGCTGACACCAAGTTGTTAATTGTGCAGAAGGGCCTTGACAAGACTTGAAAAAGTTCTGATTTTTGCATACTGGAATTACAAGTTTTACAATACTGCTATGTTGTGCCCCAACGTAACCTGGTGCTAATGCAGGTACAGAAATTGTTAAACCTAATTTTCAAACCAGGAAAAATTCAGATTTGTAATATTGAGCATATGTATGTAGCAAGTGTTGTATCAAGAAAAACATGTAGTATTCTGATGACAACTCAATTGTGAATCTCAAGAGGTTCGTTTTTCTTCTTAACCATCTCCAAGAAATATTATGTGGACTTCAACCATGCAGAGACATTTTGCAGTACCAGGATAGGTTTATTATGTCACTTTGAGTATTTGACTCAGTGCTCCTCTGCCTTGGCTTCACCACCTGTAAAATAAGCTGTTAATGCTCTGGAAGACGTAGTTAAGTGTCGGGAAGATTAATTGCTATTTTCAGAGTATAAGGAGTTTTCAGATGAAAGGCCACCACAGAAGTGCCTTTTGCATTGGCTTCTGTAGATAAATCATGAAAATAGGATTTAAAGATATCACTGTCATGTTTGCCATAGGAATAAAGAATTAGAATTGCAAAATTGCCAAATGAACAATGGTAAAATAAGGATTCTAATTCAGAGCATTATCCTTAGTGTTCCATCTCTCCAGTCCTGGCAGCTGATTATACAAATGTTCTGTTTCAGTATTTCTGTAGGGTTTTTACTCCCTTAAGGTAACACAACCACAATTTTGGTCACTGTTATAAGTGTTCATCTTGGAAAAAAAAAAAATTGGAATGTGGAAGTTTTCCAACCCAAAATGCGTTTTAAAGGATGTGCTTGGAATGGGGGAGAGCTGTGCCTTTTGTTCCTGCTGTGCAGAAAATGAATAACCAAGAAAATACAGAAGCAGCATGAAGATCAGGAGCAGAACTCCTTCCTCCCAGCTGAGTGCCCTATTAGGCTAAAGAGATGCTTTCTCTTCCTTCGTCTTTCTAAACTGATACATCTTAAATTCTTTTCTGCCAAAAGCACAGCTTCTTCAGGATGTAAATCTGGGTGAGGACTGTGCTAGCAGGAGCTGGGCTGCTCCTTGCTGGATAGGGAAATGGCGCTGACTTGTGACAGTAGGACAACGATGGCTCTGTCATCTGCGGGGGGGTCACACGTGGCTGACTCTGATGTAAACACGGTGATGTCCAAAAGGAAATGGCTACGGCTCTCTGTTTCAGCATGATCTTGAGTATTGCAGTATTGATGTTATTTCTCAGGTTGGGACCCTGCAGATGCAGACTTCTGCCTTAGTGTTTGCATTCATTTTGGTTTAGAAAGGAGATGGCTACTGACCTGCTTGTGGTAGGGAAGTCTTGGGAATGCCTATGAAAATTTCTGTGAATTTAGCCTATCGCAAATGAGACCAAAAAGGAGTGGGTTTTTGATGGTAATTTTTAAATTCAAGTTTCACTGTTCTGCCTAAATTTGCCAAGAAGAATCAAGCTTTGTTCTTTCTCTGATGACCAGCCATAACGAATCTTGGACGTTCCACATATTTCTCTGTAATCCATGATTATGTAATGGAAGTATATAAACCAGTGAGTTGCTTATTCTCTAAATGACACGGATGAAAATGTTGTTGCTGTGATAGGGCCAGGATTTCTCAGTGTGTTTATTTGAGTGTACATTATCTGTGCTGAGAGGTGGCCCTAGAGCTGTGTAATGTTACTCTGCATCCCATGTTAATTACTCATGGAGGTGGCCCTGTAAGCACTCACGATGTGAAACGTGCATTAGTGTGATGCTTTCTCTTTCTTGTAAAACATTGCAATTACAAGCACTTCTTTGTGGAAAGTAAAGCTAAATAAGGATGTTTTAGGTAATTCTGAAACAGTATTTAAATTACTCTTTTCCTCATCTGTCACCTTTGTTGATCTCAGAATCCTTGGACCACATCTTTGCACCTATCGTAGGGGGTGTTGTAGAATCCTGAAAGACAGTTATGTCCTATAGCTTTTTTGAAAGTGTGCACCTAAGTATGGGAAGGAAGCTCTGAAGTGAGAGAGGGGAGTCTGCGAAGAGTTGAGCCCTCAGAGAAGCTCTAAAGACATCAAGGAGAAAAAAAGAAGTTCCAGTGAGAGCTTGCTGTCAGCCAGAAAACACAGACAGATCTCTGTTTCTCAGCATAGGTTTCACAGAGTTGTTTGCTATCTGACCATATTTTAGGGACTGCTTTGTGAAACACAAGAGTGTATTAGGGAGAAACTATTTCAAATATAGGGCTGGAGGTAATTAAAGCAAGCAGATGACAGCAATGAAATGACTACAGTGTTACAGCATTTAACAGCTAAAATACACTAACTGCATATTTGTAGATGTGCAACAGTAAAAGCTATCTGTATGTAATATTTAACAGTTTATAACAAGACAGTGCTTCTACAGCCATGACTTTGCTTAGCTTTTAGTGTAGTGACCTGAAGCGATTGGAACATTACTTTCTTCTCTCTAAAGAATGAAACTGAAAACTCAATGAAAGACAAAAAAAAATAGTGAATTCTTGTTGGAAGACATGAGAATTTTGCCCAGGGAAATACTAGCACGCTGCCTTTGCTGTTGGTGTTGTCTGAATGTGTGTTCGCTTCTTCATTTCTTTTCTAAGCTGGCATCAAAAAACAACATGTTCAGAGGTTCTGTGCTATGAAACAACTCTTTGTGAGAGTTTTTGCACAGCTTCATGTGAAAATCAAAGAAGCAGCTTTTCTGTGTTAGCTGAAGTTTGTTTCTTTGGTGAGGGAACAGACTAGCTCATATGAACTGTACTCAGGTATGAGTTTGATCTAATCCATTAACTGAAAAGTGTATTCCATCAAGTAAATCAATTAACAACATCCTTTTTGAATGAGAGTGTTCAGTGGGACTGACAGTAAAGATGTTGCAGGGAGACATAATAATGTTCTCATCATAACGATATGGAAGATCTGTGCGTCTCATTGTGTCCAAGAGGAGACAGCTATGCCATGGCTGGTCACAAGCTGTTCTCCTTCCATGGGCACTGCAGTGGCTGTATATAAGATGGAACAATTTTAAATGCAGCTGAATTCTAAGAAAGGGCAAAAGTCATTTGAAATAATTTTTG